CAGAGCCTGCAGTCACCGGCACTGCCAGCCCCAGGGTTTGGGGCAGAACCGGAGACTGCGGGAGGGGAACAAAGGCAGGAGGGGAAGGGAGAAGCCTGTCTGGTCTGGAGGAAATCCCAAACCTTGGGCAGCGAGTGGCAGGATTAAAAACCAGGTGTCCCTGGTCCTGTCTCCTGCTCTGAACACGAGGCCATATCCCATCAGGGGAGGCAGGCAGGGTACAGATGAAGCCTCTGCACTGCATGTGGCTCTGCCCCCTCTGGGATATCACCTGGTACAAAGTGTAGACTCAGAGGCTCTATTTTCTGTCTCAGCTAACAAGAATCTTTTCTCTTGCAGCTGCTGGGACTCTCAGGGTGGATGGATGGCCACCAGGACCATACAGCCACAGAGGAAGGGCAGGAGGTGAGGCTGCAGTTGACACCTTGCCTCTGCCCCTTCCCTGGTTTGTAAAAGGCTGTTGCCTGTTTGGAGAAGGGTTGGGGGAAGTCTGGTGGCTGCAGTGGATCCCCTGAGTCAGGGCACCTGGGTTGCCTTCGAGGTTCTGCCAGGGCTGGGCTTGGGACCTTGCTCTGCTCTGCCACACGGAGGCAAGAGCAGCTTTGCTCAGCTCCCTGGAAGCCTCCAGAGCTCGACTCACAGGTCCAAGCTCCAGCCTCCTGCAGCCAGTGGGCACCCTGCCGCCGACTCCTCCGGGAGCAGAGACTGCTGCACAGGGCAGGCTTCCCACTCACTGCAGCTCAGCCACCACCACCACCACTGTCCAGGAGGCAGACCTGGGCTGAACATGGGCCTGGAGACCATTTCAGGTGCAGACCTGGGCTGAACATGGGCCTGGAGACCATTCCAAGTGCTCTGAGAGACCCTGAGCTCATGCATCAGGCAGGAATCACTCTCTTCCTGAAGGCTCCCAGTCCCTTGGCTGAGCCTAGAGGCAATCCCTCCTCCCCAGCCCCTTTGGGGTGCTGCTTTATTGCAGCTCTGTGTTGTTTGAAAGATCTTTTGTTGTTTTTTTTTTAAAATTGTTTTGGCTGCAGGATTTATTGTCCTCATTAGCTTGAAACCCAACGTCTGTTTCTACATTGCTGCTCCATGTTAAAAACACAGCTATCCATCACTTCAAGAGATCTCGCCCAGAGGTCAGGGAACTTGAACCTGTGACACAAGCCATCCAGACAGATTGCAGTTGCATTTCAGAAAGAGATTTGTTGTTGGGAAGAAAGAAAAGTTAAGTGTTTAATCATTTTTCTTTGGGAGCTGTGCTCCAGAACACCACAGAAAGAGGAGAGCAGTGAGCTTCTGACCCCCTACCCCACCCCACTTCTCCTGAGATCTTTTTTGGGCTCTCCTACAGCCAGAGTTTCAATCCAGGTCTGTGCTGTTCATGTGCAAATCCAGGCTTTAAAAGATGTATTTTACGATGGAGAAAAACTTTGTCATAAAATCTGTCACAAACATGGTCATAAAATCTAAACCCTACTCTCTCCTCCCTGTCCTTCAGTGGAATTTCCTTCTGTTGGAAACTTTCCATCAAGCTCTCGTATAGGAAACCAGAAACTTCTCCAAACTGCATACTCAGGAACACTGAATATCTCTGGAGTTGTACATTTTTTCTCTTGTTTTTTCTAGTAAATCAGGAAATTGCATCTAAGACCAAAATGGGGGCAACCCTTTAGCAGGGCTCGTTGTGCCAGGACTAGGGCTGATGGTTTGAAACTAAAAGAGGGAGATTTAGACTAGAGGGATGGAAGAAATTGTTTATACTGAGGGTGGTGAGCCCCTGGCCCAGGTTGCCCCATCCCTGGAACCATCCCAGGTGAGGTTGGAGGTGTCTCTGAGCACCCTGCTCTAGCTGCAGATGTCCCTGCTCCCTGCAGGGGAGGGTTGGACTCAATGACCTTGAAAGGTCCCTTCCCACCCAACCCAGTCTGTGATTCTAAAATAACACAAGATCTGGTCACCTCACAATATTTTCTCTGGGTCACCACTGAACTTTTGGAGCAGAAGACATCCTTAACTGACACTGAGAAGCCCACGAAAGCACAAGTGCTGGTGTGAGTCTCTGTGTGCTCAGTTTTACTTGCAGGTAACTTGTGGGATTGGGACCTAAATCACTCAAGTGCTCTTGGAAAGAAATTTGGGAAACATGAGAAAATTCTCAGGTCAGTTCTACCCACCCCTGCCAACATCACAGCAGTTTTATACGGGTATAAATCCTGATTTACACCCACTACAGAGATGAAAACCATCCCCAGTAGTCCAGCCATGAAACCCAGCCTCTGTTTTCCTTTGCTTAGCAAAGAATTTGCAGGTGAAATAACAATAAATACTGAGCAAAGAACTTTAACTGGTATCCAGAGAGTTTGAACCAATATAGAGTTACTTCACCCAAGGAAATCAGAGCAGATCTTGCCAGCCCCACCAGGGTTTGCAAACCCACCACTCCTCTGGCCCAGCAGTTCTTGCATTTCAAACAACACTGCATCAAAGGAAACCAGGCTGGTAAGTTCTTGGGAGCCACTCAAGGAGCACACGTGCTTTTAGGGAGGCAGATATTTTCTTTCTTATTGATTTCCACATCACACCAACTCATACAACAAAAGAGAGAGAAAGGTATTTTAGGGGGGAACGTGTATTTAGATGCAGTTGGGTAAATAAAGGCTCTGTGTAGCTCCTCATCCCCCAGCCATGGGGTGTCCCCACAAGGTTCATTCTGAGGCCAGGCTCGGGAGGCACTGGAGAGTGGTTTCTAATCTTTATGCTCCATCTCTGAGCTCAGTGCAGCATGCTAAGAAAATACTGCTGTGAGACTGCAGCCTGCCTGAAACAATAGCTGTGAAGGAGCTTTGTGGGGAAGTAACACCAGCTCTGGCTTTTATTCAGCTTGATTTTATTGATTTGTAGTCAATGATGTCAGAGCTGATTGCTTCAGAAGAAATGTGCAGCTTGTACCCTTTTCATGTTGGCATCACTAGTGAGAGTATTTTCAGGCCAGTAAAGCTTTACAGAGTTCAATCTGAGAAAAAGAATCCTTATAATGAGGTATGAGCAGGAGTAATGTGTCAATCAAAGAGAAAAAAATGAAGACATGGAGTCACAGACTGGGTTGGGTGAGAAGGGACCTTTCAAGGTCATCAAGTCCAACCCCCCTGGACTGAGCAGAGACATCTGGAACTAGAGCAGGTTGCTCAGAGACCTGGCCAACCTCACCTGGAATGGTTCCAAGGATCCAGGCAACCTGGGCCAGGGTCTCACCACCCTCAGTGTGAAGAATTTCTTCCTTCTTTTTAGTCAAAATCTCCCTCCTTTGAGTTTCAAACCATCAGCCCTCGTCCTGTCCCAACAGGCCCTGCTCAAAATCTGTCCCCAGCTTTCTGACAGGCCCCTTGAAGTACTAAAAGGCCACAGTAAGGTCTCTCTAGAGCCTTCTCCTCTCCAGGCTGTCCCCTACACCTCCAACACTGCTGGGGAGCCCCAATTCTCCCCAGCCCAACCCCTGAGCCACCAGACTTCTCCCGAGAAAACTCTGGGATGTGATGAAAACATGAAACCATGCAGCATGTGGAAAACCACAGTTGTGCTGATGTTGTCAGACCACAGGATTATTTTGGTTGGCAAAGACCTTTAGGATCACCCCAGCGAGCCAGCCCTGGCTCGGCCAACTCACGGGTGGCTTGCTCCCCATCCACCCACGGTTTCAAGAGAAGGGAGGGAGGGTTCCACAGGCAGTACCTCTTTGGGATTTGCAGGGATACGTCTCCATCTCCACCTCATGGAGGGGGAAAGGGGCTTTTGCTGGCACCACAGGCCGGAACATGTAGCTGTCGTTGGGCAAGGAGTGCATGCGGGACACGGAGATCTTGCGGACGGCCAGCAGGTTCTGAGGGTCCCGTGGCCTCAGAGGGGCTGCACTGCCCTGCAGAGCAAGGAGACAAGGACAGGGAGTCAGCAGCTTGGTGGTGAACCTGCAGCAGTCTGGTTTTTTTGTGGTTTAAAACCTCGTGCACGTGTTCCTCTTGGTATCTTACAGAGGGTTTGCAGCCCTGGTGGCTGCAACGGGACGCTGGAGCTGCGCCGGGGGGGTTGGACAAAGAGCTCAGGTGGTGCCTGGAGTGAAAGGAGGAATTGGGGACCCACCATTAAGCTGATTCTGGGGCACCACAGAGAGAAAGTGAAGTCCAAGAAAATGGGGCTCACCTGCTAAACACACAAGGAACCCAACACTTCTCACACTGCTGTTCCCAGGGATGCTTTCAGCCCAGCCTGGGACAGATGGGCAAAACTCCAGTCCTCAGCCAGGCTGGCTGGGAGTTCCAAGGGGTTTTTTTTTGAATTTCATTATTATCTCCCCAAAACACAGACACAGGCAGACATTTAGATGCACACATGAACACCACTGCAGACCCTGGGGCCTCTCTGCTACAACAGCAGGAGGCAGAGGGAAGGAGAAGACATCACAGCAGCACCTATGTGGGTGTGGAGCTTGTTCTGGGGTAGAAAAAGGATTTCTCTGACAGCCTTTGCTGTCAGATGGGTCTGGTTGGAAATGCCTGGACAGAGCATGTCACAAACCTTAAACTTGACCCTTCTCTGCTTCTCTGAGGCCCTCTTCAGTTCAGGCACCTGACAGCAGATTCATCCTGGGGTCTCATCTTCCTGGCTGCATGTCTTTAAGTGGATTTTGCTTTGCTCTGCTGGGCTCTTTTCCCTCTCTGCTAGCAAAATCTGAGCCCAAGATCCCTCCCTGGTTAAACCCACCCAGGAGCTGCTTAAATCTGTTTTTTTTTCCCATACATTTCTGGCTCATAAATTTATTTCCTCAGCTAAAGAGACACATCCCAAGATAAATCACTCGATGCTTTTACCCTGCTGAGCTCAGCTCAGAAGATGGGTATTTACAGGTAGCTGGCATCCAGCCTGGCCCAGCAGGACTCAGGGTCCCACCCAGGTCTCTGGGTTGATAGATGAAGGGAACAGGAGGGTGGCTGTGCCAGTTGACCCTTGGCCACTGCTGCTAATGAGCTATCAGCATCACAAAGCCCCAGGCAGGTGGTTGGGAACACCCTGATGCCAGCAGAGAACAAAAGGGCTCCCTCCACTTTCTCAGCAGGCTAGCAGAAGGATCACAGCATCTGTCCACTGCAGCTCAGTTTGTCTTTACAGGGTCTCCCATCAGTCCTGGCTGGCTGGGAGGAATGAACAGAAATCCCTTCTTGACATTAACAGCTGCAGCTTGTGAGGTGACAGTGACTGAGAGCCAGCTGAGTTAGGGATGGGGCAAATCTCAGATGCCTTCAAAGCCACTCTGAGAAGTACTTGGAATACATGGACAGGAAGCTTGTGAGCTTATAGAATGGTTTTGGGTGGGAAAGACCTTCAAGTCCAACTGTTCCCCCAGCACTGCCAGGTCCCCACTGCCCCGTGTCCCTCAGCACCACATCTCCACAGCTTGGAAACCCCTCCAGGGGTGGGGACTCCAACACTGCTCTGGGCAGCCTGGCACAGGGGAAGATATTTTACCTGATATCTAACCTAAATCACTCCTGGTGCTACTTGAAGCCATTTCCTCTTGTCCTGTCATGAGGCAGAAGGTCTCCCCTGAGCCTCCTTTGCTCCAGGCTCAGCACCCCCAGCTCCCTCAGCTGCTCCTCCCCACACTTGGGCTCTAGACCCTTCCCCAGCTTCGTTGCCCTTCTCTGGCCACACTCCAGCC